CCCCAAAACCCCAAAACCCCAAAACCCCGTTTCTAGCATGTAGAATTGAAACAGTAAGCCTTTTAAAGCTCTGAACCTATTCAAACGGATTATTATTGCGAAAATTAAGTTAATTTTATAGAATTAGTGTCCAAGTCAGAGTCGATGTCCTAATTTGAGCCCTGCTTCTTAACTTATAGCACAAAGTTTTACATTAAAGCACTATTATTAATATCCCTAAATTACCGGAGGACTCTCTTGTAGTATAATACCTTGAAAATGTTAATAAAAATTCTAAAATTTTCATACTAGCTCTCTGGAATTAAGTGAGCTCCTTCTAAGTAAGCCCCTTCCATAGGGAATTAGTCTAATGTTTGAAATTTAATACATCCAGGTTTACCAGCAAAGTTCACAATTAAGAGAATTTTAAATTTTATTGATAGTAAAAGAAACTGAAGTGAGGCAATTTCAAATAAAACTCTTAGACTTTTCCTTTAATATTTCTCTGAAGAAGTCAACTTAAATGGCTAGATCGACATTGGAGTAGAGTTTTCAAAACAACCATGCTATTTTTTAAGTTTGTCAATACTTTGTGTAAGAATTAGTCTAGCAAATTTTTCAGGGTAAAGTTGAGTCTGGCTCGATATAAAATTGCTCCTTTGACTATCAGATCCCTGAGGGCAACCAATTGCTCAGTTTCATTTCCTTTTGGGCAAAAATCCTGGGTTTCAAGTTAATAATAAGTTTAGGTGATATGAAAAATTATGCCTGCTTAATTGATTTTTAATTGAGTAAATAGGGACGGACATTATAGAGGTAATTGATAAGGGTTTGAAAATTACATTAAAACTCCTCCACATTAGATGCACTGCCTTATCATTCACTTCAGAAGATCTGACAATTCAAACAAGTATGAATATTTCATACAGATTAGGTCCTATTTGAGCTGTATTGGAGAACAATTCATATTTCTTTGGATTAATTTTTTCTATTTATTATGATAAACTCCTATTCAAAAACTTTTAAGAAGTCTTCTCTTTCAGAAGTTGCTGCAAACCTTTCTATTTTATGGCCAATATTATAGTTAAACCAGCTTTTTGTCGCTTCATAGTTTTTTGAAATCCGAATTATGATTCATTAGTTTGATTACTTCACCACCAGGTGATTAATAGAAATATGCATCAGGGAGTTCCTAGATCTCAATAGGACAATATAGCATCATGGGATAGGAATAATAGAACTAGACTCGGCCTCTAGATGTATGAAATAAATAAATATTCCTTGACTTACTACTGAAGCTCAATAAGAAATTCTGGCTTATAAGAATTAGTGAACAAATAAGAAATTCTGACAAAAATGGAACGGTATAAGTTTGAAAGGGAGGACTTAAATCAAACCTAAATTTACCAAGGAAAAGGTATGAATATTGCGTTAAATGTATTTTATGAGGAATTAAGATTATCGGCTGAGAAGCCACTCCTTCTTAAACAGCTACATGAAGAGTTAAGACTTCTTGTGGAGCAGGAGGAGGATCCTTGATGAAGGGATCATTTGGCTCTCCTCACATTTTTCTTTCCAATTCGAAGGTTTGATTTCTTCAGAGTTCCTAGGAAAGTGAAGTACATCTGAGGATGAAGACTTTCTGAGTTTTTTAACAACTTTATAGCAAGACCCACGAGTCTTTGAGTCTTGAGGAAGTATAAAAGTCGGTTTTGATAATTCAACGCTTCTTCTCACAATTTTTCCCTTTGATTCTTTCAATCAAGAGTCCTCATCTAGAATAGGCTGATAGAAAACTTTTGATGAGCTTTTGGACTTTCCGGTAACATCTCCGAGGGCATTGGCATTCCCTTTCCAGTGATAAACGTTATTTTTGGAAGGAGACTCACTGTACTCTTCAGAAACAGTTCAGGAAGAATCATCCCAAAATTGAATTGTAGGTGAATTAGTTTTCATTATAGTAGAAATTAATTATAAAGATCTATTTCAATACTTAAGTAATGATGGGGTTTTGGGGTTTTGGGGTTTTGGGGTTTTGGGG